AGAAAATTACTGCTTCATAAGAGGAGTAAAGATGAAATTACATACAAGGATTTTAAATTGCTTAGAAACAAAGTTCAAAATAAAATTAAGAAAGCAAAGGCTAATTACTATGTACAGAAAAGGTTGAGGACCACAAAAAATGACCCTAAAAAAATATGGCAGTCATTAAAGAGTATGGGGATAAAAAATAAGGGAACCAGTAACATGGGCAGGGTGGGACTAAAAATTGGAGAAAATATATGTTTTGACAAAGCAATTGTTGCAAATAATTTTAATAAGTATTTCACAAGTGTGGCCTCAAACTTGGTGAACGATCTACCACAAAAGGAAGGGACGTATGATGAGATTAGTCTTCAAAATTATTATAGGGACAAAAGCCTAGTAGTAAATGCATTTACTTTTACAACAGTGGGAGAGGACGAGGTACTACGGGTACTGAAAAACATTAATTAATACGGGTAAGGCTATTGGGTTAGATAATATTCCCGCAAAATTTATAAAGATGGATCAAACGTTATTTGCTCAGCTCTTACACATGTAATCAACATGTCATTCATCCAAGGAAAAATCCCTGATGACATGAAGGCAGCAAGGGTCATTCCGATACATAAAAAGAATAGCAAAACAGAACCCGGAAACTATAGGCCTGTGTCAATTTTAAGTGTCATATCCAAAGTTTTGGAGCAAATAGCCTATAACCAAGTAGAGAGATATTTAATAGAAAATTCCTTACTGTACGAGTTCCAATCTGGCTTTAGATCAAATTTCTTAACTGACACAAGTTTAATCCATCTAACTGATATTATTCGTAATGAGTCGGACAAAGGAAATCTAACTGGTATGGTTTTATTAGATCTTCAAAAAGCTTTTGATACCGTTGACCATACCATAAATTCTACTAGCCAAGCTAAAAACTATCGGAATGGATATTAGGACTGTGAAATGGTTCGGTGTTTATCTCTCTGGTAGAACTTGAAGCCAAATAACTGATGTAGGAGGTACCTTCTCTAATAAGAACCCTATTGCATGTGGAGTAGCACAAGGCTCGATTTTGGGTCCTCTGTTATTTCTGATTTATGTTAATGACATGGCAACATCGAGTTATAGCCTAATAAATTCGAGCTATTATAGACACGTCTTAGCCTTAATCTCTGTGAGTCTTGAGTTTATTGAAGGCCGATTAGCTTAAAGGGATCCTTTACTCTAGGTTCTAGGGTTAATTTCGGTTAAAATTACGCTACATAAAATGTTTCATGGTTCAATCACCATTAGAGTTTTTTTAATGTTTTATAACTAACGACTACAGCTTGATTACAACGACGGTGGCGCCACTCAAAGCGCACGATCTGAAAAGTTGCGCAAAACGACTTTTCAGCCAAGGGCTACAGACCGAGGGTGTTTCTTATTTGTTCATTTAAAAGCAAAAGGATTGTAATATCTTATAAATGACATATAGTTTCAGTTATACTATGGATAAATTTGTCCTAAAATGAACATCGTTCAGTTAAATAGCATTTAGGTATAAATATAATTGCACCTTTGTGATTAGCCCTCGGTCTGTAACGTGCAAAATATATTGGGAAATGCGCAACTTTTTCAGGGGCAAATTTACACACAGAGTGTCCCAGATTGCATCTCAAAGCTTCTACAATTCAAATATTTTCCCGGCACGACCCCGGACCCCCTAGCAAGGAGTAGCACCCCAATTCTATAAATTAAAAGCTTGGAGAACCCTGGTCTGTTATTTTTAAAAGATTTTGAATTTATTTCACTGCACAATTTTCGAATCTACAGTTTATTGCACCTGCACATTAATGGGTCAATAGCCTAATTAGTAGTCTTATAAATAATAATTATGAGTAACTAGTTGTCATCTGTGTGCGTTGTCTGTGTGTATGTACAGCAAGCATCTGTTGTCTGTCTAGAGTCGTTGACCTGGAGGACAGCGAGAGTGTGAGAGATGTGAAGAAGCAGCTGAGAGACAAGGAGATGAAGCTGACGGACATCAGACTCGAGGCGCTGACGTCGGCCCACCAGCTGGAGCAGCTGAGGGAGCAGGTCGGCAAGATGAGGGTGAGTGAGAGCCTGCAGGCTGCGGCGACAACGATGATGATGGTGGTGATGATGGTGATGATGGTGATGATGATGATGATGGTGGTGGTGATGATGGTGATGATTACAACTTTTATTTTTTGTTTTTATATTTTTTTGTTATACTTTTTTGGTTTATTAACTTTGTATTACTTACAGCATACAGTTATTGTTTAGTCATTGAAGTAATGGTATATAAGCTGGGTTCACACGAGATACACGCTGGTTCCGTACTTATCTGGTGCTGAATTCAGCTGAAATACCGTGCTAACACAACCCGGAGCGTTCACACGAGAATCGAGGCTTAGCTGGCTAGGTATAATATAGACTGGTACCCAGTCGACAGTTCCACACGCTAGGAGAGGCAAATTAGCCACGTGCAGTTCCATGTTCAGAGCAGCAACGACTG